ACTACCGACCACCTATACACTACCTATCCTAGCCTTACCTACCTATACTACCTACCTATACCTGCCTACCTATACCTACCTTACCTTACCTACCTTACCTACCTATACCTACCTATACTACCCTATACCTACCTATACTACCTTATACCTACCTATACCTACCTATACCTACCTATACCTACCTATACCTACCTATACCTACCTATACCTACCTATACCTACCTACCTACACCTACCTACACCTACCTACACCTACCTACCTACCTACCTACCACCTACCTACACCTACCTACACCTACCTACACCTACCTACACCTACCTACACCTACCTACACCTACCTACACCTACCTACACCTACCTATACCTACCTATACCTACCTATACCTACCTATACCTACCTATACCTACCTATACCTACCTATACCTACCTATATCTATCTATCTATCTATCTATCTATCTATCTAGCTAGCTAGCTATCTATCTATCTATCTAGCTGAGGAGGACAGCATACGGAGCTTTTCCAGATGAGAAGAGGCGCGGGCGGCGTGTCCAGCGTCACACGCACTCTTTGATGACAGCCACTAGTGCAGGTACCTTGGTAGAACGACAAGAAGCTTCTCAGAGCTCGTCAGGTTTGTCAGGCGAATCCTGGGGCATGGAGATTGCATCATGCTGGTGGTTCCGGAGTCTGTGATTGTTTTTCATGAGAGACTGACCTTTTTTTCTTGCGGAAGGCATATTCTTGGAAATGCAAAAGTTGAAATGGTCCAAGTTCGCATTGGGGATGTCTCCTGTTAAGAAAACTGTGCACATTGTAGCGCTCTACCTGCGCCCCGGTAAACGTACAACAGCAGTGTCAACGAGAAAAATCCTGGATCTGAACCTGCAATTGCCTGGCGCAGTTTCTTTGGTTGGAGATTTGAATTTTGTGATACTTTGTGGTTTGGAAACCAGGCTGTTCAACAAGATCACCCACTGGGTCAGCAGATGCTGCTATTGCAGGAACAGCTCACCTTTCAAACAATCTGTGTTTTCTGCGGATCGGTGACGTTGAGCCACAGTTGAACCCAGCCCGTCAACAATTTCCAATTTGGCGTTTTGGAATAAGAACCCTGGAGTGTCCGACCCACCCACTTTGATTCGGCATTCGCCACAATTGCAATAGCGCAAACCTTTCCTTCCGGCTTGGATTGTTCAACGCCCACTGTTAAAAATATTCTATGTACCAAGCGAAATGAAGTGGAAGGAAACCAGCTGCGTGCGCGACCTTTCAAAATTTAGGCATCGCGAGACTCCTCCATGTTCCTTGCCACCGTTTTCCAACTCAGCTTGCTGTGGGAAGGAAATTCATGAAAGGTTTCCCCCGCTGCGATTACAGTTGCTTGCTGTTTTAAACAAAGGTGGTCGTGACTTCGGTAGAGCTATCCGTTGACAAAATTTACAAAGGGCCGAGCATCGCATTGTACTGCTCCATGATTGATTAATATTGATTATCCCAGACTTCTTTCGGTGTTGATCTCAGTTTTTCTCTGAATCAGTAGAACAATATGACCAGGAGCCATGAATCAGTCAGTGTCCTGGTGTTGCGCAGGGACCATCATCCAGTGAGTCGCTCTGCATACGACTTGCTGCCGGGGCCTAGGGGGCCTAGGCAAGTAGAGTGCGATGGTCTCAAGTTGAATTTTTATGCGCATATTGGAGGATAGCCATCACTCTATTTCATGATAAGGACTAAAAAAAAGGTTTACACCCATCATGTTTGGATTCCCAGTTTCATGATGGGACGATCAAAACCCATTCATCCCATGTTACATGTTCACGGCACATGTGATGACAAACTGTATTACCGTTAATGATTGCATTGCACCATTTCTGAGGTCCAACAACTGTCAACACTGGACTCGCTCCACTGCTGAGTTCCTACTTCAAGCGCAGCTTACTCAGACATGGCTAGCAAATCTGTTGGTTACTTTTCATTTGTTTGTGAAACCATGGGTGGGCTGGGGAAAATCTTGTGTCACCCCTGGTTAAACCAGAATAGACACACGCTACCCAGGTATTTAACCATCCCGCTATATATAGCTAACGGTTTTGAATTGTGACATTTTGAAAAATTGTTGTGAAAATCATCAATCTAACTTTCAGCCAATTGGCTACAAACTGCAGTTGGCTAATCTACACTACTTGGATTCCAACATCAAATTTCGAAATAAAGAAGATCACTTGTCAATATTTTTGAGTTATATTGAAATGTGATTTTATGTTTATACGATATATATACACATATCTATAACATATACCAAACTCTCCAGGATTTTCATCGCAGGGGCCACACGATCCCAACCACCCCAGCCGAGGCCGGTGACCTCTCTGCCAGATCAAGGACAGGAAGTGCACGGCTGAGTCCAAGCCATGAGCAGAAAATTGTATGTTGTAATACGAATATGATGAGGATGGTAATAGAAAAACTAGGCGACGGATGGCCCGAGAGCGTAGAGGAGCAGGGTCTTCTCTTGTTAGTATGGAGACACCATATTACAAAACAATATATTACAGATGTGTTATAGGCAGTCGAGAAGAGGAGTATCAAGACAATATAGCACAAGTACAAAACAATAGTTTGCATCGCAAACACTTTTACACACAGAAGCTTTTACACACAGACGCTTTTACACACGAAAGCTTTTACACACACAGACGCTTTTACACACAGACGCTTTTACACACAAACACTTTGACACACAGACACTTTTGCACACAAAAGCTTTTACACACAAATGCTTGCACACACACACAGTTACACAAAGACGCTTGCACACACACAGACGCTTTCACACACAAACGCCTTTACACACAAACACTTTTACACACAGACACTTTTGCACACAAAAGCTTTTACACACAGACACTTTTACACACAAACACTTTTACACACATACACTTTTGCACACAAAAGCTTTTACACACAGACGCGTTTACACACAGACGCTTTTACACAGACGCTTTTACACAAAAATACTTTGACACACAGACACTTTTACACACAGAGGCTTTTACACACAGACGCTTTTACACACAGACGCGTTTACACACAGACGCTTTTACACACAGACGCTTTTACACACAGACGCTTTTACTCACAAACACTTTGACACACAGACACTTTTGCACACAAAAGCTTTTACACACAGACGCTTGCACACACACACAGTTACACACAGCCGCTTGCACACACACAGACGCTTTCACACACAAACGCCTTTACACACAAACAATTTGACACACAGACACTTTTGCACACAAAAGCTTTTACACACAGACGCTTTTACACACAGAAGCTTTTACGAAAAGGTCCACGGAACACTTTGAAATCGCAATGTGTCCTCAGTTTTTGATGATCGAACCTCGTTTCGTGCGAAAGGGTTGCGCCGGACAAGTTGAAATCGCAATTTTTCCACAGTTTTTGGCGATCGAACCTGGTTTCGTGCGAAAGGGTTGCGGCGGACACCTTCAAATCGCAATTTTTCCTCAGTTTTTGGCGATCGAACCTCATTTCGTGCGAAAGGGTTGCGTTTCGTGCCATCTCGTTGGCACTGCCCCGGCCCCCGCCTTCAGAAGAGAAATAAAAAAGAAGGAGAGGGCAAGAGGGGCAAGAGGGCAAGAGGGCAGGAGGAGAAGATGTGAAGATGTGAGGATGTGAAGATGTGATGAAGATGTGAAGATGTGAGGATGAGAAGATGTGAAGAAGAGGGCAAGAGGGCAAGAGGCCAAGAGGGCAAGAGGAGAAGATGTGAAGATGAACAGATGTGAAGATGAGAAGATGTGAAGATGAGAAGATGTGAAGATGAGAAGATGTGAAGATGAGAAGATGTGAAGATGAGCAGATGTGAAGATGAGCAGATGTGAAGATGAGAAGATGTGAAGATGTGAAGATGAGAAGATGTGAAGTGAGAAGATGTGAAGTTGAGAAGATGTGAAGATGAGAAGATGAGAGACAGACCCCCACTATGGGAAGAACCCTGCGCTCAGACGCTCTCGGGAATATAGTAACACTATTATTTATTTTTGTTTATTTAAATACATATATACATACATTATCATATATATAGTGTAATCATGCACATTTCGGAGGATTTTGAATATGTGCTTGAACACCCTCCTGGCAAAAATGCACGCTGCAGGTGCTGCAAAGCAGATGGAAGCTACCCCTGGTGAACATTTTTTGTGGTCAAGGCCCAAGTACCCTTCAGTCACCGGACCTTACCATCAAAAATGGCGGTTTTGTCCCCAGAAATTGGGGCTTAAGAATCTGGGATTTACCTTCCAGTAAGCTAGCATAGATATGAAAAATCCATGGGCTTCCCTTGCAAATGATCTAGATTCATGGTGATTTTTTCACAATCAGGTGAAGATTTGCTGTACGGTTAGTCATTCGAAGACAGACACGGGGTAGACCCGAACTTAATCCTCCATTTTTGAATGGTTTTGACCCACCATTTCGGGTGAAACTGTGGATGGCTTATGATTGGTTCTACTACACTAGTTGAAAACCTGTTTCTTCAGAATTTCACTCCAGTGCCTTGGCATTGAGGTATGATCTCATCAATGTCGTGAGAACGGCGCTCGGTTGTTTCCTGAGCCATGCGGCGCAGGTTTGAGCGCTCACACCTCCGAGTTTGCAAGACGCTAACTCGCGCAGGTTTCAGCCCAGGACCAAATGTGCACGGCAGAGCAAATTTTGCGTGACTGGATGGTATAAATAAACTTTGGATTTGGTTGTCATCGTGGGGTATCAAACATGTTTTTTTACTAAAATGGATATCTTGCGTACAAATTGACTATAATCCATTTTATACCCAGTATATCTCCATATCTCCATATTTTGCCTCCGTTTATAGGTAAGCTGGAGATATACGTTGGAGACATATTATAAATGTTATCTCCATAGTAAGCCCGTGTGTTTTGGTAGTCTCCAACAGCTCGATCCGTTAACTCCAGGTGGAGCTGAAGAAGGCACTGAGAAGGCGTGACGTTGCCTGCTCTAGTGGCTTTAAGGGCATGATTTTGGCCAAGAAAAAATTGGATACATTTACATAGATGTGGATGTGGAAAGATTGAAACTAACATAGATGTTGATATTTTTGTTTAGGGTGAACTAACATAACTATGGAACATCACCATTTATAATAGGTAGATCAATTATAAATGGGCCACTTTCCATAGCTATGTTAGTTTACCAGAGGGTGCCCCAGGGTAAACTAACATGTAACATAGATGTGAAAAACTCATGGGGAAAACCCTGTGGAAAATGATCTGCAAATGGCGGGTTCTTCACTTCGAACTGTTAACGTTTACCAGATGGTAACTAGCAAATAGCATAAATAGTTTAGAAGTTTAGAAGTAGGCTAACGGTTGGGTGTATATATATATATATTTGAAGTGAATGGGTAAGTCAACTTGTAGCTGGGGGACCACATTGTGGCTTGTTCATCCACTCACTGGGAATTCCAGGATCCTAAAATGGAGGTACCTACGGTAGATACGGCCTATAGAAGGCCTATGTAAGGGAATATCCCCAGAAAATATGGCCAAACATATGGTACTAACGTACCTCCGTTTTAGGATCCTGGAATTCCCATTGATCCACCAACATCTGGATTTCACCAAGATTGGTGCATCAGAATTGGACGAAGGGAACATGTCCGGAACTCCCCACAAAGATTGGCAGAGATGTTTCCCAATTCATGGGGGGCACCCCCAAATCATCCAAGTCATTAGAGCTAGCTTTTGAAACCCATGGAACCCAGATATTAATTAAATGGTTAGGGCTATATATAAGCCACTTAAACATACTGAATGGGGTATTTGGGGTACCCCTTATATAAGCCCTTAAACCACTATTTAAATTGATGGTTAATAAACCCTTCCAATCATGGTTGTGGGGGGTGAAGATTTGCCCCTAATAAGCCCCATGTTTGTCCCATCGCATGTTGGCTGTACCCCCAATCAGTAGTGTTGGTGTGTTTATTCCATTCCGAGTCTTGCGGTTTTATATGGTTGTATATTTTTTTATATGTTTGCTCATGGTTACGATCCCGCTTATAGTTCGTGAATGGTTCATATCTGTTGATTGAGATCCCACAGTGGCAAACCATTGATCATATGGGTTGGAATCAAAGCCAACGAGCCAAGCAGGTGAATCAAACTGGTGATTGAATGTTGATGCTCCTCTCAGATTATTTTGAAATTGGATCTGATGTTTAAGTGTGTTGTTATCCAAAACAGGCAGTGGTTATTTTTGGGGTTACGGCTCATTTAATCAGATAAGAGTAACAACTGGTTGGTGGTTTGGAACATTTTTTTGATTTTTCCATATATTGGGAATAATAGTCCCAACTGACTCATATTTTTCAGAGGGGTAGATATACCACCAACCAGATAAGCTGCAGCCTGACCCTTCTTGAGAACAGCATCCTTTGGTTGCCCCCTTAAAAAGGTGCCTCCAAGACGAACACGTCATTGTCATGTAGTCTGACGCGCCGAGGCCAAGCTGCAAGGGGAAGACCTATACAAGAGCTTGCCCAAGCAGAAACCCATTGAAGAACCCCCAAAACAGCAAAAAAGCCTTGAAATCCACCAGGCTAGCCGAATTTTGTCGCATTCTACTGCTTCTGGAAGACTTGCGACAGACTCTTCGAAGATCAGTGATCAGCAGGTCCAGGTGCCAAGATGACGTCTCTGGCAATTTCTGAAAGCATCCACCACTTAGACGCAGACTGAGGGACCTGCACCCTGCATACTTTCGCCTTGTTGGCCCCAGTTACCCACGAAGGTCCTGACCTCTTTGTTGCCAGAGTTGTGTCACTTGTAGTTTTGAAGTTGTCTTCATTTGTTACACTTCATTACATTGAAAGTTTTGTCCATCCACATGAATTGGGCTCACTGATGTTTACCATCTTACTAATCAGTTCGTATTACATTTCCGTATGAATTTGGCAGTTCCTTCGATCCGGGATACCCCATTTTTCATCCAAATTTGAAGATCTTTTAGTATTGAACCCATGTTGACTTGGGGATACCCCATTTTAGGAAACTTCCATTTGAAGTGTCATATCCCAACACCGCACCTCTCTGAAAAAGGCACTGGCATCCAGTTGTCGAGGCGCACCTGAGTCAGTCGACATAGGGAAATTTATCTTTCACTGGGATATCAATGGAGAATGGAGAACTATGGAAACCTCACGATATCAATGGAGAACTATGGAAACCTAACAATGGGATATTCATGGAATGTAATGGCTAGCCCATTTGAATGTATTAGTTATAGACCAATATATACATACAAGGTGGTGCCCCCCAGTGATGTGATTGTTAGTTTATAACGTCCATGAACTATGGATGTAACGAAGCTGGGTACCACCTCCTAAGGTTTTGCCACGGTTTCTATCGGTTCCAAGAAAGCGGTTTGGAGCTATGGCTATGGGTATCCATATTCCTTAGCAAAATGGGGAGCCGAGGAGCTATGAATTGAGTTTCCCAACCACTTGATAGTTTTGGAATTTTGTTGTGATTAAAAAAGTTGTGATTGTACGAGTTGTTGAAGTTTTGAAGGGCTCTTAAATGGGGATGTAGTGGGATATGTGACCAGTACAGCTGGCTGGTGGCTTACCCCATGTTGAACACGAAAACCATGTTTTCCCGTAGATTTTCTCATGAGCCTATCAAATGACCATTTATGTGACTTCACCCGCCAGGGTCATCAGATGAACGTTTGACCACCCTTAAACTCTATTTTTGAAGGGTGAATACTGGTATACAGCCAATCCAACCAACCAAACAAGATAGGCAACGAAAATAACAGAGAAACTGATGAAACAAGAATGAAAAGAACCACCAAGGTCAGTGAAAGTAGACAGTAAACCATGCTAGAGGTACAGCCAATCAAGGACTGCCACTATGTTCAAAAGTATCTGAAACAAAGCAGAACTCTGGGTAAATGTTTGTAGTTGCATAACTTCAGGTGGTTGAATAGTTGGAAAGGTGGAATACCATATGTATATATAATTGATTCAATGCAGATTCATACTGATCTATCATTAATTCAACCATCCTGACTTTTGCATGTTATCTAATTAAGATTGGCCATGCCTCAGGTCAAGCAAATCTGTTGGTGGGTCAACCCAAATGCGAACTGAGTTTGACCCATGGATCTCTTCATTTTGCTGTCCTTGTTTTGGCTAGCGGCGCTGTTAGCGACCCCTAAGTTGGGGTGCGTTTATAACTCCAATTTCACATGGGCTCATGGTAGATGAACCTGTAGCTACTATGGTTTACTAACCAACAAACATAACTGGCTGGTTCATAACTCCAATTTCTCTTGGGTTTGTGATACATACATCTATGGTATTTCATGGGGGTTCTAGACCAACAAACATCACTGGGGGGGCGCCACAGTCACTTAGCAACCACCGAAACATCGCCAGGGACGACGACTTGTTCCTCCCCAGAGGAACTCTCCAAGGAGTGGATCGTCGAGCGTCTGGTGGAAGCCGGCGCTTTGCCTCTGCAGGTGGAGTTGCAGTGGTGTTTGCTGCCCTGAGATTTTGTTAAGGGAAAAAGTAGGGAATCCAAGAGGATATGATAATAATACCATATAGCATCATAATATTGATGCTATATCATGGAACTTAATGGGATATACCCTCTAGCAATTTAACCAAGGGAAAATTGCCCACTTTGAGTTGCTTTACCTTTTAAAAACATTTAAAAGTGGTGATGTTCCATACCTCTGTGAAATTGCCAAAGAGTAATAGGGATACCAGGGGATGTCATATATATATATATATATAAACTATATACATGTGCATAATCAATATACATTGTGATTTCTATGGGCTGTATTTAGAAGTTATGCAATTTACCATTGATCAACAACATGGCATAATCATGAGGATTTCAATCAGCCCTCCAAAATGGTTATAAATAGTAAGTTAAGCAACATAATTGGAATTTCAAATCAAGCATATTGTGATCAAAGGAAGTGGGAAAAATGTATATGTTTGGGGTGAATGTTCAAAAAAGGATAAAAACGAATCTTAGCACAGCGATAAGAAACCACCCATGTATTGATGTTTTATACTACCCATAGAAAGTGTAATTTTGGGGGAGGGTTTATGTTAAGTCCAGCTTTGGGGTTGAATGAGATGTCGGTATTGGATGAGGGACCCAAATTGCACGGGGGATCAAGGGGCATCTATGGGGTCAACCTTGAATAGGTGGGTAGGCGTCTCACTTTGCTTGTCTACGAATGGACTGATTTACTTTTTGCATTGTAATACAAGATTGACCATGTCTATAAACCGCTATCGTTGGCGATTTAACCAACAAAGCCTGGTATGAATCAGACAAACCTCCCCATTTCAGTGACACTCCCCTTAAGGTTTGGACGTATGGTCACCGACATGAAGGGGGCGTTGAATCCTCATGATTTTCGGTGGGGAGATCTTGATCCATGGAACTCGGAGATTGTGCAAAATCCGGGAATAGTTGAATATCACCAATCCATCCAGTTATTCAACTATTGGCATAAAATTGGACAAAGCATTGGATGTGGATTATCCAGAATAACATCAATTATCCATTGGACAAACCGTCTACCCCAATCCAACCATGGTATAAACACCACTGGATGGCTAAACCATCCCGGCATTCCCGCTACATGAACAGAGCCGCGACAGAGTGACCTGAATCCGATTGGTTCCCGGTTGAACATTGGAATTGGATTGAAAGGATTGGTTCAAGCCGATTGAATTCAGATGTTTTTTTTGGTTTCCGAGAGCAGCATCGGTCAAACAGAAATCGTTGTTTTGCCCAATGACCTTTTTCGCTATATCTGCAATGGATCGCACTGGGCAGCCCCACCAACTCATCCAGAAACAATTGTTGTGCTCCCCACGCATGATGGGATGACCATACGCAATTAATCAATCTTAATCTCATGTCAATGGCCATTTCAGGAACCTAAACCGGAGGTACCTACCATATATAAGGCCTATTTTTCAGGCCTATGTAAGGGAATATCCCCATAAAATATGGCCAGACACATGGTACTAACGTACCTCCAATCAATCGGATCCTGTTTTATTCTACCATTGATCATGTAGATGGACCATGGCACATGTATTAAACTTATTAAACCATCATGCATCATCATTATTTCCCCCAATACGTCCCTATAGTTTCTTGTCCAATGGAATATCCCCAATATCTCCATTGTATTACCCATTGTATTGCCGTTATTGTTAGTTCAATGCCACAAATCTCATGAGCAGTGTTCAAAACCCTGGTTGGTTAATATAAAATTATTTTGGATTATACTACCCAAAATATTGGGGTTTATCATCATCCATTCTGGCAATCCGGTTGAACCAGGCACCATATTAAAAGGGACAACAGAGGGTTTTGAACACTGCTCAAATGAATATTGTGATGTTTTTGCAAAATATCTAAGATATCAATTATTTTCCCATATTTTCCCATATATTATCATTATTCAAATATATATATATTTGTGCGTGTGTGTTTTCCATGTGTTCCTGATGAATAACCCATGAATCCCATGTAGTTTGCCCATGTAAATAACATGTAGCTAGCCCATGTAAATATCATATTATAAACCCATTGTATTCCGATGGTATTCCCAGTAATGTTGGTTAAATCATATGAAATCAGATGATTCCCCATTGTTTAGTCATCTTAATCCCAGATATTGGAATTTCAGCCAGAATATGTTTCATTATCCATCAAGCCCCATTGAACCACATTTAATCCCATCAAACCCCATCGAATTCCTGTTGGTGGTGGTTCTTAAACTGGAAACCCGAAATCTATAAACCAATATTCAGTTGGATATATCTAAACAAATACATATATATATAATTTATATAATATATATATATATATATATTTATAGTATATATATTATATTATCTACATATTATATTATATATATTACATATTAAATATATATATATATATTATATTATATATATAATAATATATATAATATGTAATATATATATATATAATATATAATATGTATATAATATATTTAATATCTATATATAATATATAATATATTATATATATTATATGTATGTAAATGTCATCATATTTCCACTATGGCTGGTTATAAATAGACCAGAAGTCCCATGGTTTACAGCACTTGAAAGCCATCAACCTCCAGGAAGCTGCCGAGAGATTTGGCCCGGTTCCACAGTGCACAGAGTCGGAAGCTGGACATCTCCGCCACAAAGCAACGAAAACTGGAAGGGGGAGCCCAAACGAGATATGGGTTTCATAGGGATTTGTATGGTTATATCTACACATATAGTTAATGTCATAGTTTACGTGATTTTTTTACGATTTTTAAGCAAACATGTGGACTTAACCAGCAAAACTTGATATTTACAATCGATGGTACGTAAGTTGGTTTGTAACTAGGCGAACAGATGGATTTATTGATGGATATACATTTTATGGAATCTCATGACTTGGGGGCCCCTTCGTGAAGGGATTTAAGCCATGAATATTCGAAGCTACAAGAGTTAGAATTTTGTTTCCCCATTTTGGTGGTTCGTTAAATAAGGCACCAACCATGCACAAGTGTTCACAGTTCACAACACATTCAGTTTCGGCATACTGGAGTTGGAACCATTGTCATTTCATTACTGTTTAGAAAACCATGAACATCCATGCAAGGCGAATCGGTCTTGCACGGTTGTCAGATGCCTTGTTATTAATACGATTATTATTGATTCACGTTTGGACCATAATGATCCATACTTATCCACGATAATCCACTTTATTCCACATAGTCTTATTTAACCAAGCAATTCTTGGGATTATAATGGATTATTGTGGAGTATTATAATTAGTACCCCTTCTGTTTAATTAGTTGTAATAGAGATTTTTGGATTTATCCTCTGGTAATCAAACATTGTAATTGAGAATCTTATATAAATGGTGGTTTATTATAGCTGTGAAATTTATCGAACTAAATGGGGTTTTGTCCGTTATTCATAGACTGACCTTTCTTGGACGTATCATTTAGCTCCAGTGGATGTTCTAGCACTCATGTCATATTATACTTACACTGCTATTATCTACTATTATTGGTTTTCTCCAATCTTGGATATGGGCACTAGATAGGTCGAATTGCGTATCACAAAAATAAAATGGTGTAAATGCTACAAATCAACAGTTCATGTTTGATAGAAATGGTGTGCTGTCCCCATCGGTCTCAAAAGAGTGAAAATCCGACCCATATCCATGCTACTTACTAGCAGTTTACGATACAGTACATGTTTGGTTTGGAATGACCACCTGGTACTTGGTGGCTCATCCCACTTCGTAAGTGGGCTATAACCCTACTTATAGGTGGATTTGCCGTACCTCTCGCATTTCTGACTGGGGTTTTAATCCACTTACGATTCCTGGCATGAGCCACCAAGTATCCGTGTCTTGTCCCCGCGATTTTTCTTCTCAAGGGTCGTAGTTCAGTGTCTGAGTGCCACGTGACACTCACGGAAGAGGCGCGGCGTGATGATCCATGCGACTTGGCGCAGGGGCCCGGGGCAGTGAAATCTGCAGTCCCAGAACAAGAAAAGGGGGATCGAAGAACCAGGAAACAGGGATTTCATTTTAGCTAAAAAAAAACGGGGATGGAACCAACCAAAAAATCCACAGGTTGTTATTTATTTGGTTCAAGTCGTGGTTTCTTTTACAAGACGCGTTTTCGCCATAGTCTATATACCCTCTTGTTGTTGGTTGTGTCCTGGTTGACGTAGAGCACTTTGGTGTGCGTCCAAGTTAGTAACTGGTTTATAACCCCTACACAGAGGTCCATATACCCGGTGACATTCCTTATCGAAGTATCCCATATGAGGTTTCTTGAAATGGGGGTACCCCATTTTATCATCCAGTTTCAAGTGGGATTTTCCCTTATAAACCATCCAGCTGGGGTACCCCCAATGTAGGACAGCCTTATATTTGTTGCCTTTCCATTCCACCTTGGTTTCATCGACCGGGCTGCCGGGCCCAGGTCTTCAACTGTGCCAAAGACGTCTGTGCTCTGCCGGGGAAGGCCTGCGTGGAGTGCGGCAAGGCGCCGAGCTTCTGCGGGTGCCTGGGGGTCGTTGAAGCCATGGATAGGGTGGGATATTTGACCATGAAAAATTGTGGGGATGTATACTTTATCAATGGATTAGTGGATTATAGTTGATTACTAGTGGATTATTGTGGATTATAGTGGATTATACTAGATTGTACTGGATGAATCTGGATGAAAATGTATGTACCCCCTGCTGGCCCAGTGAGCTAGATCACTAAGTTGGTACGTTTATAACTCCATAGTGAAGAAAACCAGATACTGGGATCGTTGATCACTCTTTTTTGTGTGGGCCAACGTGTTTCAGGTGTGCAGTCAAATCAACTGCGAGCCGTGCAAACAATGCTGCGATGCTTCTTGGCCCTAAAATCCGGTCGAAAGGCGACCCAAGTTGAAGGGGAT